TATTATCTCAAAATCAATAATCATCCAAAGGAACAATAAAGCAGTCATAATGTGTTAGTCAAAATTTCAGAACTTCATAACAACATGCAATGAGGTATCAGTCCCATTTCATAAATGAACAAACAGGCTCAGCAAGATAACATGAGTTACCCAAATGAACACATTAAGCACAGGAATCAAGATTCAAATCCAGGCCGGTTGGAGTCCAAAGCTGGTGCACATTTCCCTAAGTCACATTGGCTGTCATGCATCTGACCATCCATTATCTTACCATCCCAAAGTTACTGAGCCCCTACTATTTACCAGGGATGGTGATCTTTTTAGATAATAATTAAAGCAAACACGTCATAGTAGATAGCTAATGTAAAAAGGAATCTGAGCTGGACAGCAATCAAAATCAGGGACAGGCCCAGACAGAGGTGACATAATTAGCAGCAAGATTCAATGAAAACACTACCTATTAAACAAAGAGCCAAGAAATCAACATCACCCATCACAGGCTTTCTGGCACAATCCTAGTATCACACCCTCAATCTAGTTCTAAATATGCTTCCATATCTTCCAGTCTGTAGTTCATAACATGTAGTCACCAAACTGTGGGCCAGTATGGTCAGGCCCTGGCTGTTAGGGCTTCTTACTATAGAATGGACCCAGACTAGCCTCTCTGTGTGCAAATGGTCGATCGGATTATGACGGAGGTGGTATAGCTCTTGACTCAGTAGAAAACGAGAAAAATAATACCAATAACAGCTACAGATACCTATTGTGTACTTAGTGTACTTGGTGCTCTGTACCAACCCGTTTTACAAGCATCCTAATCTTTACAACCACATAATGCTGAGGTAGGTGCTGTTATTATTCCCATTTTGCAGATGAGTAAAGAGAACTAGAAAGAGCTGGTCTTTAACCACTTACTAGTCCAATTATTTAAATAAAAGATGATCAAAAATTGAGTATTTTTTGTTAATTTTCCTAAGATAATATAACAAGAAATATGAAAACAACCATTTTATCAAATGTATTCAATAATTTTTAAGTGTATGTTATATTTTAAAACATTCAATACACAATACAATGTTACAATTTGGACAGTAGTATCTAGTCTCTTTTTGAATTCTTCTTACATTACTGTCTTTCTTTGAATAACCCACTTTACACTGTCATGCTGGCCTTTCCTTTTTTTTCTGTGGGTGGTATAATTTCAATAAAATGTCTCCCCACGAAACGTAATGGTGAAGACGTTGATGATGGACGTCCTGGTTGGTGTTTCACTATCCCTTATTTTTCAATTATTTGGTTTATTAGACCTAATATAAATTGTAAATGACTTTTGAACCCTTTTGTTTTGAATAACAAATGAGTTCCATATTGTTTGATCCAGAAGATGCATAAATATTTTATAATGATATTTTTTCCTTGCTTTTTTATTATAGGATAGCCTGTTAGATGTTGGTCAATGCTGTCAAAACCAACCATAGAATTATTGACCACTATTGGAATTTTTTTAGTTTCATTTTTGCTTTCAAGTTCCATAATTTCTGTATTACGAATAATTGACAATAAGGAGACATCTTTTTTTGTCTTTCCATTTCATGACACAGACTTTCCCTCTCTGATAAGTGAACATTTCTTTCTTTTTCAGTTTTTTCTTTTGCAGATCTTTGGCACTTCTTTCCTATTCAGACTCAGTGTTCCAAATGTGTCTGTTTTATATGTAAAAGAATATCACTGAATTCTGGAGAAGTATAAAAGTTATACCTAATATACTTATAATAAGCATTTTTATAGATTGTAGCACAAAATTATAGGTTATTTTTCACAAATAAAATAAACACAAAGTAGTAAAAGAAAATAACCAGAATTTATTATTACATTTCTCTAGAAACAAACATCAATGGCAAATACAACGTTGTAAATAAAAAAGTAGGCAAAAAATAGTTGATGTAAAACAAACAGACATATGAATGTATTTTGTACAAACAAGAATCAACTGGTTGAAAAGACATCTGGCTAAGCAATGCTTGGGATAGTCAGTGTGTAAACATATGCGCTACCCAAATGATGCTGGGGTAAACTGTTAAATGGTTAAACTCGAGCAGCCTGATTCTGGAACTGCTGTTCTTTCTACAATGCTACATACAACTAGGCCGTATACTCTGCAATGCAAGAACTGTGCCTTCAACACCTTGATTCTTTATACACAGAACCTATATAGGACAATAAGGATTTGTTCAATCAGTTCACATCCAGGGCCTAGACCCTGCACTGCTGACTCACACATACAGTTTTTAGTCAGCTCCTATACTCTGCTCCTTAGTAGTGTACCCTGGATTTTACAATTGGTTTTTGTTTCTAATTAACTGACCTATATATTCATCCCCGTGGTAGGGACCAAATCCAGGCCCTTGTACATGCTGGAAAAGTGGTCTACATCCCCAGCTCCCTGTTAATTTTTATAAACACAGATTTAATAAATGCAGATTTATTGCTCCGGCCCATTCAGATCACTTTCTTAGGTTCCCAGTTCTTTCACCTAATATATCAATCAGTATGTCTTCAAGCTTCATTTAATCTACAAATTTGGCTGGCATTAACTGATGACCTCAACGAAACCAGTGATACTAACTACTAAGTAGAAAAGAGCCCCATGGCCCAGAACTTGAGTTAGCCCTCTAGTCTGACATCTATTCATATAAAAACAATAAACCAGGACATTCACCATTTACTATTTCCCACATCATATTTTATTCATATAGATATTGTGAGAGACAGCCACACACCTTGCTAAAACACACACATCTACCATATCTTCTGCAGACACCTGCCCCTCCAGCCTGGAAGCTCTATTAAAATAAGCAGTTGAGGGCTGGGGATTTAGCTCAGTGGTTCCACCGTCTGTCTGCCTTGCAAGTGCTCAAGGACCCAAGTTCAATCCCTGGCACCAAAAAAACAAAACAAAACAAAAATAAGCAGTTGATGGCACAGATGCTTTTAAAGAAGATATCTTTTTGTGTGTGGTACTGGGGATTGAAACTAGGGTCTTTGTGCTGAGCTACTTCACAGACCTTTTTATTTTTTATTTCGAGGAAGGATCTTACTAAATTGCCCAGGCTAGTCTCAAACTTGTGATCCTCCTGTCTCAGCCTCATAAGTAGCTGGGATTACAGGTGTGAAGTCCACTCCCCTCCAGCAAGAAGATATCTTTTAAAGAAATATAGGTCTGAGTATAGGACTGTATCACAGTTCCTAGAAATGAACAGCCTTCCTCTAGCAGCTGAACTGGATGAACAATGGATACTCTCCTGTCTTCAACAAACACTCTATGAAGATAAGACTAAACAAAGAACCCCAGGATTGGATATAGCACTGGAGTGGGGGCAGGAGATACCCTGAGACTGTCACGTTAGGCAAATGAGCTGGCACTGCTTTCCAGGGAGCAGTGTCTTGGGTTGCCTGAGGTCAAGGCGTGCATCTGCCAAACTAGAAACGGGTGCATGCTGGAATTGGAATATCATTACTATAAAACAGGATTATCATGAACAACGATTCCAAATGGGATTAGAAATGATTCTTTGTTACTCAGAGATAATCGGCCATAGCAGCAGCAGTAGAAGAAATGCCTAACCCTTTTCTGGGGCCATGGTGCTGGCATTCTGGGCACTTGGCCAGCACCTCACCCTCCTTTCCCTGCTGGGAAATACTGGGCACTGTCCTGGTTTGGGCAGATGGCCATCTGGGACAAAAGCCAGCCTCACATCAGGGCACCCTACTTAGGGGTCCCATGTTCTAGGCCTAGTTTTTTAGATGAAAAAGATTGGAAAAGAATCCCCAAAGTCCTATGGCTTCTGAGTGACTTAGGCATTACTGACAAGAGACAGGTAACACTCCCCATCTTAATCAAAGGCAGGCTTACTTACAGGTAACTTACTAACGTCCTTTTGGCACAACCCATAATCAGCTTCAATATTAGTAATAATAATGAGTGCTAGTATATTACTATGTTACTATTAATTAAAGTAGTAAACCCTATTCAAGTGTATACTATACAGCAGGCATTATTCTAAACACTTTATATGTTTACACATTTAAACCTTAAAACAGCTTCATTAGGTAGTAGGTAGATCCACTGATTATCCCAATTTTATGGCAGGAAAACAATCACAGAAAATGAAAGAATTTGCCGAAGTACCTAACTAGTAAGAGGCAGAATTTAAATTCAAAACCAGGTTCTGGCACACACATGTTCCACAGCTGGACTGTCACAGCCAGAGAGGACCATGGGCAATGCTTACTAAGGTCTTTCCTCTCTCTCTGGTCCCTGGACCTTGCCAGCTCCTCCTACTACTTTATCACCCTGTGAGCCTGGGCTTACAAGAATCTTTCTAGAAATGCCTGTCCACTCTCCACTTTTACCAATTAAATCCTGTTCGTCTATCAAGCCCACTTCCTCACAGAGGGCCTTTTATCTATATACTATGATCTCTCCATAGCATTCTAGCAGTCTTCCCTATGGCACTGACCATTCTGCCTCACTCTGCAGTCAAAGTGGGACTTGTTTTATTCCTGATGATCAGCTTTTTGAGGGTGGGAGTGGTTTGTCTGTTTTTATGTGTCCAGCACACAGTGGATAAAGAAACCCCATATGACTCTTGGTCCCAGCATCCCTTGGTCCATGCACAGCCTTGTTCCCTACCCTTTCCCCAAACCGGCAATGTAGTCCAGTGGAAAGAACAAGATTTGGGGTTCAGAGAGACCCAGTTTCAAATCCTGGCTGCCTCTTTTACTAACTGGATAAGCACAACCCTGGGCATCTCTGACCTTCATTTTTCCTATTTATAAGACAGGGAGGGATAATACTTCCTCCCTTTTAGGACTGTCCTCAGTTTAGAGCTACCATGGGAAGAGCCTGACCCGGACCTGGCTCATAAAAGGCACCCAATCAGTGACAACCATCATCATCACTGAAGATCTGACAGCACAAAGCCCTACTTCCTTGGGCAGAATGAAGCACCACTCTGTAGCACAAAGCTAAGCTGGGGGCCTGGGAAGGGACCCTGTAGTCCTAAGGTAGGGTCTCCACATGTTCAGACTTTCTAATTACGCACACTTGAGCACAGGTGCAGGAGTGCCCTTCTTCTAGCCACCTGGAAATAAAAGACAGCCTCCTTCTAGAGGCTGCTAGCGGTCTTGCTGTGTGGGCAGCAGCAGCTCCTGCCTCCAAGATCACCAATGGAGTTGTTGTGACCCACAAAGGAAAGTCCATAGAGTCTTTCCTGCAAGCTTGGGCCAGTGGTTTCTTAAAGACAGGGCTTAAACACCCCCTCCCCTTAGTAAGATGGAGGGAAAATAAGCAAATGCTAAAAATAAATGGCTGCCGTGAGGGAGAATTAAATGGTCTTCAGCCAAGGATGGCAGCATTTTAAAATTAACAAAGCCCAGGTACCACATCCAGGAAGGCCTTGGCAAATGCGTGTTATCCACTCATTAGCTCAGTTCCTCAGGGACCCTGGCCAACCAGGGAAGGCAGTGCCGGGAACCAGTCCTTCCGATGCTGATGAAATGCACTCCTGGAGCAAAGGGAGGAGGAGGGAGAGATGATTCTTGTGGGGAATTTCAAACAGTTATGAAGATACTTTGCGCTTGGCCTGAGGTTCTTATCCTCTCAGAGGCAGGACCTTTCGAAAGCAACCAGTGAGCCCAAGTAGACTCCAAGCAGAATGTCCCCACTCCGTCGTCTTCCTTCAGGATCTCCACTCCTGAAGGACTACAGCCTCACTCTATAGGAGTCTCCTGCCTGACAAAGCATAGGTAAGGGGCCCAGGAATGGTGTGGGAGAGGAAAACTCCCCATCCTGTACCCTGGACTTTCTCTTTGATGGAATGAAATCATATATTTTGTGACTTTATGTAAGCCCAGTGTATACTATTGGTAAAGTTAATTTATCACTACTCATCAGTAACTATATTTTATAACATCACTGATACTGTAAATTCATAAATCTTCATTTTCTACTATCAATAAGAACTCCTAATTCTCTAATATGAGATACCATCAATAATAAGAATCCAAAATATTCTAGGTTGCTGTTAACATGAATTAATTTTGACATCATTGATACAAATTTTCAGTATGCCACTGGTCACAATGAATGAGGAAAATTAGAGAAGGATGATGGCTTAACAAGTTTCTGTTAGTTTATGAAGTATCATTTACATAGTGAAATGCATCCTCTTTATAATATGTAGTTTGACAAGTTTTGATAATTATATGTAGTCAAGCAACCCCCATCATAATCAAGATACTAGGTATTTTTTCTATTTTTCCCTGAAAGTTACTTTATATCCCCCTCCCACTTCCAAACCAAACCTGATTTTTTTTGTTTGTTTCAAAAGCACTGCCTTTTCCAAAAAGTTATATAAATGGAATTATATAAATCATACAAATGGGTAGCTTTTTGTATTGGCTTTAATCACGCATAGGCTTTGAGTGTCATCCATGTTGGTGCACATATAAGTGGTCTGTGCTTTCTTTTCTTTTCTAATGTCAGTATTATCCCACTGTATGTATGTACCAGTTTGTCATTTGCCAGTTGAAGGACAAGGGTCATTTCCAGTTTTTAGCAAATGTGAACCGAACTATTATAAATGTTTTTGTGCAGATCTTTCTCTTGGACAAATACATAGGAGTTGATATTGCTGGGCTTCATGGTAAATGTATGTTTTACCATTATAAGAAACTGCCAAACAGTTTTCCAATGTGGCTTAACTATTATACCTTCCTATTAGCAATGTATGACAGTTGTTTTGCAACCTTTCCAGGGGTTTGGTATTGTCAGTTTTTCTAAATTTTAGCTGTTGTAATAAGTACACAACGATAGCTGATTGTATCTTAATTTGCATTTCCCTAATGATTACTAATGCTGAGTATCTTCACATGTGGATATGTGCCATCTTTCTCTTCTTTGTGAAATATCTGCCAAGATCTTTTGCCCATATTTAAAAATTTTTATTGTCTTTTTGTTACTGATTTATAAGAGTTCTTTGTCTATTCTAGATGCTCTCCCTTTATCAGACATGTGTTTTGACAACTTCTTTTTAAAGAAAATTTTAATTATACCACTTTTCTACCACACCACTATCTCCTATATGTATTTTCTGAAGAAGGGAATAGGAAAGACTTCCAATTTACAAATATCTTAGGGTTACTGGGCAGAGAGTAAAGCAGTACTTGGTATCTGCTAAAAACATATCCAACTATCACAAGGGCTTTAAGTAAAGCCACAGATGGAAAAATGAATGTCCTATAAACAGCTTTTGGCTCCCCAGGCTCTGTACCTCCCAAAGCCCTGTTCTGGTCCACCAGGCTTCTGGAATGGTCAACAGTCGTCACACTCCATTGCTGGCTATTGTCTACTCCGAAAGGTAGGAGGCTCCGAATCTATCCCTCAGTGAAAGAGCAAATAGTTGGGCCTGTGGCTGCTTGGACATCAAAGTTGGGCAAACAGGCCTGGCAGACCCTGCCTCTCCGCCTACATACCCCATAAATGGCATCTGAAGGAGCTTCCCCAAGGGGGTCATGACTTTCAGCTTGTCACAGCACACATCAAAGTTTGCACCACACACGAACTGGGTTGCATGGGTTCGAATCAAGTCACCCGAGAGCGGATACTCAGCCATTGTGTCCAGTTTTAATCTTGTGTTTCCCCAAGTAATTAAGCCTTCTTGCTTATGAACTTGTGACTAAGTAAAGCATCACTGAGAAGTTGTAACATCAAAGTGCTTTCCACCGTCTGTCCGTGTTTGGTAAAATTGGATTTCTTTCCTTTCTTAAAGACTAATTGAATTTAGCTGAAGGCTGGGCATATTTGCACTAGCCAGTGAAGGTTATGCTAAGTAACAGTATCATCCTGAGACCCTGTGGCTTAGCCTTTAGCTAGGCTGGGTCAGAGTGCAACACAGAATGAGGCACCCAGACTCAGGCTAAACAAGTGCCTTGTGGCATAAGGCTTATCAAGGGGTCACTGTGGAGAAGGGGGCCAGACCCCATTGACTGCTGCTTCAGTCAACACTACACCCAAGCTGTTACTGGGGCTAGCAAAAGAACTGCCCTAATAGAATGTTGGCAAATCTTTGGCAGAATTGCTGCTGAGGACAATGGGCATCACATCACTCAAGTCCTTGATGTCAGTAGTCGAAGTAAGCTTCTTTTAAGGCAAAGACTGTGACTGCTTATTCCTCTGAATCCCTCCATGACCCACCACATCAGCATCTGACACAAGATACTTTTAAAAAATGTTTATGGGATGAATAAAATGATAATGTAAAGGAAGTCAGAATAAAGTTCTTCTCTCCTAAAGAATAAAGTTCTTCTCTCCTAAAGAACAACAGCAACAAAAAATCCCCTACATCCCCTTTTTGCCTTGTGTCAAGAAATTCTATCTAAAGTAATATTTAATTTCACTAATTACTTCATTTACAGTGAGTAAAGATAGCATAGTCTCATTTATGTCAAATTATAACACAAATAAGTGTGTGTACCATGATAAATGTCTAGACAGAGGGAATTCAGGTGACTGCCACTTTCCTCTCTATATTATTTTTACAAAAACAATAAACCTATTTTCAGAAAAAGAAAACCTTTGGTTCAATCTTGATACAATTATCTCTCCTTTTACCAATAAGATTTCTGATCATGATCCAGTTTTAACTCTCCTGTGTGTATTTATATTTATATTTAAGTCACTTCAAACCCTCTTTAGAAATAAAAGGGAATAAATTATGTTATGTTTCTATGCATATTTTAAAAATTTACGACAACACTATATATATATATATATATATATATATATATATATATATATATATATATATATATATATATATATATATATATATATATATATATATATATATATATATATATATATCCTCAAAACTAAATAATAAACATATAGAGAAATAAAAGTTTGTAAGACATAAATTCCTTAAAGATGGAGACTACTGTATTCTATATTCCCAAGGATTTAACACATTAAATAGGCACTTGAAAGTAAAAAGACTGGGCTACTCTCAGCATCTCTTTGAGCACTTGGGCTGCCAACATTCCAAAGAAGGTCGAAGTTCTCTACTTTCAGCCTCTAGTCAAGGAGTGCTGTTTTTTCCCTCCATGCAAATCCAATTCAAAGGAGGAGGCATTTCAATTCTAACCATTATGATTCCAGAAGGCTTTGGTGATTAATCTTATGGGGATCAGTACACTCTAATAAGGAGAAACTTAAGTGGTAGGCTGTGTTGGTATGAACACAATAATCTCTCAAGACTACTCACAAGGCACTTATCAATCAAGGCCTACTCACCCTAACCAACGTACTGGTACTTCCTTTTTACAGGTTCTATTTTTCCTTTTTTCCATGGCACTTATTTTCTCATATATTACATGGCTTACTTATGAATTATATTACTGTTTATTGTCTGCCTGTGCCCCCCTCCGCCTAGGTTCTATCCTGAGTAAAGAAATGAGCTCTATCTGGGTGGGGATCTTTGCCAGGTAACCAATGATGTTATTTCAAGTACCTAGAACAGTACCTGGCAAACAGTAGGGGCCCAAAAGAATTTTGTGATGTGAATAAATAAATCTAAGAGTGCTATTTTCTATAAAAATTTGTCTTCTGTGGAGACTGGGAGAGGAGGGCACAAAGTCTTTAAAAAATTAGTAATCAGTCCTAGAAACCAAAGCAACTAAATACAAATAAACTAAATTCTCACTTTATTCAACAAGCATCACTGATTTGCTAATAACCCTAGAGAAAGACAGAACAATCAGTTAAACCAACAACTCATTAGATTCAGAGAGAAATGTCCCCAAAAGCACATCTACTAGCTATCTGATCACTACCTGACAGTACTCTCAAGTATTGTGTTATTGCCTATTCAGTCTCAACTGTGAAAATACACCCAGCCAGAAACACACGCCCTCCTTCAGCACTGGCTGTTTGTATCTGCAAACTGTGAATGAAGAAGGCTGGGTGGGGTACAGTGTCAGTAGTAGAGAATAAATACATATGTGTAGAGGTCTAACATGGGCAAAGGGAAATAACTCATGATTAATAACCTGTAGCACATATATTATTGTATCTGAGTCTGACGAGATAGTGAGTATCTAGTCTGCTACCAGATGAAGTCCTTTTCGCCTCCCCTCTTCAGTAACACCCCATACACTCTGCACTGACATCACTGTTGACACCATATATTATGTTTCTTTACTTGCACTGCTTTTCCAAGTCAGGATGTGAAATCCACCAAGGTCCCCGATCCTCCAGAGACTACTGTAAGGCCTAGCTCAGAGCAGGTATTTACTAATGTAGAAATAAGTAATTTCTCATGGAAAAACAGATGTCCATGGAATTCTGAAATTCAACTAAAGGTCAAAACTAAGATTGGATTCCAGGTCTCCTAACTGCAAAGCTGATTTATATTATTATCTCCCTACCCCATGGTAGTGCTAAGGATTGAATCCAGGACCTTGAGTGTGCTAGGAAATCAAGTACTTTATCTGAGCTGTACCCCTAGAATAATATCAATTATCTTTTAAAGGGTAAGTGCTTGGAGTTAAGACAACAAATAAAACTAAGAATAAATTCACAGTCAAGGAACAAATGAGAAACCCAATTTAAGGAAAGCTAAAAGGCAGATCACCCTTGTATCCAAAATTCCCAGTTCTGTGGCCTTCCTCTCTACTTAGGACCCTTCCAAACATGAAGATTTCTGGAAGACAAAAGCCTTAATGACCTGCTTGAATGGAGAATTAAAATTGGTAACTCTAACCATCAGTTTCATTGGCAGCTACTGAAGTGCAGTCTGATTTATTTAAAAGCATTCCTTTTTCCAGGCATGGTGGTGCATATTGTAATCCCAGCACTTGGGAGGCTGAGGCAGGAGGATTGCCATGAGTTGGAGACCAGCCTGGGGTACACAGTGAGCCTGAACTACATAGCAAGCTGTACACAGGCCAGCCTGAAGTACATAGTGAGATCCTATCTCAAAACAAACAAACAGGAGCCACGCCTTCTCCCGGCCAGGCAACCATCGCTCCAGCGCCTGGAGGTAGCCTGGGCCCTGTTCCACTGCGGGAAGGAGAGCCACGCCTTCTCCTGCCCCGGCTGCCATCGCTTGAGCGCCGGGAAGGTAGCGCCCATGAACCCCAACCCCCCACACTCTCAGACCTCCTGACTGTGCCAGTCTTTGGACCCACTCTGCAGGGGCAGAGGTGGTCATCAAGGATATTTTTCTGAGTTCCCAACTTTGAACATCTTTAAAGAAAGGACTGCGGGAAGGAGAGCCACGCCTTCTCCTGCCCCGGCTGCCATCGCTTGAGCGCCGGGAAGGTAGCGCCCATGAACCCCAACCCCCCACACTCTCAGACCTCCTGACTGTGCCAGTCTTTGGACCCACTCTGCAGGGGCAGAGGTGGTCATCAAGGATATTTTTCTGAGTTCCCAACTTTGAACATCTTTAAAGAAAGGGGGC